CCAGCTTTCGGAATATGTGAATGGATTTTACCTACTCAGGGATATCACAAAACTTTGTGAAGTTTTTTAATTCCTCAGGTCTGTGAGTGTTCTGCGGTACTCTATGTAGGCAGGTAGGGCCACTGGTAGACAATACTTTGTGCTTAATCCACCTGCATTTGGGAAGAGAAGTGCTAGTTTCTATGCTCAGCGATAATTTGGGGCAATCATTTCACGTCTCCTTTTTCTTAGTTTTGTTAAATGGGGATTAAATCAGTTTTATATAACAAGAAGATCTTGAGGAGAATGAAATGAGATTTTTTAAAAGTATAAATATATGTACTAGTAATGATAATTAGATTGGAACTTCAGCATAACGCCTGGGCATTCTGAACAGTTTTGTTATTTAACTTGAGCTCAGGCTGATTGCTATTCCCCCATGTTAACTTTCTAAAATAAACTCTTTTTTGGGGGGGAATACTTTTAGATCTACAGAAAAGTTCTAGAGATAGTACAGTTTCCTTCACCCAGTTTCTATTGTTAAAATCTTACAAAACTGTGGGTCAGGCCTCCCTGGTGGCGTAGCGGTTGAGCGCTGGGTTGCGAAGCTGCCCGCAGCCTCTGCAGCATCAGTTCAATCCCTGGCTGCTCCCCGGCCACTGGAGGAGGGTCCCGCATGGCGCGCAGACCTCTCCTGCCGCCCACTGCTCCCCTCAGCAGTGTACTTCGGTCCTTCTGCCTGTTCTGCTCCCTGCTCTGGCTCTGGTGAATTCTCTCACCCTCCCGCGCTTCTGACTATACCCAGTGCTTGTATAAATAAATAAATAAATCTTTAAAAAAAAAAAAAAAAAAAAAAAACTGTGGGTCATTGTGAAAACTAGTAAGTAATATTGGTATACTAATATTAACAAACTACAGACTATTCAGATTTCCTTTTCTTTTTTTCTACTAATGTCTTTTTCTGTCCCAGGACTCAATCCAAGATATCATATTGCATTTAATCATCATGTCTCTTTGGTCTCTTCTGGTCTGTGATGATTTCTCAGTCTTTCCTTATCTTTTAAGGATTTCTCAGTCTTATCTTTTTAGGTACTATATAGCCCACACTGGTCAGTTATTGCTTGGAACATGCTTCGAGGTGGTCTGTGTGACATTCTCATGAATGGACTGAGGTTTTTTGTTTGTTTTTTTTTAAAGATTTATTTATTTATTTATTTATTTATACAAGCACTGGGTACAGTCAGAAGCATGGGAGGGTGAGAGAATTCACCAGAGCCAGAGCAGGGAACAGAACTGAACAGGCAGACTCACGAAACACACTGCTGAGGGGAGCAGCAGTCACGGCAGGAGAGGTCTGTTGCGCCATGTGGGACCCTCGCCTGTGGTTGGGCATTGAACGGGCACTGCAGAAGCTGTGGGCAGCTTTGCGGCCCAGCGCTCAACTGCTGCACCACCAGGGGAGGCCCTGGACTGAGGTTTGTGAGAAGTGCTTTTTCTTATGTCATATCAGAGGTCCATTTTATCAGCATGACTTATCACTGGTGGTATTAACCTTAATCACTTGGTTAAGGTGGACCTTGTCAGATTTCTCCATCATAAATAAACTATTTTCCCTTTCAAAATTCTAGTCTTTAAATAAAGTCTCTAAAGCCACACTCAAGGGAAGGTAATTAGGTTTCATTTCCTGAAGGGGATAGTATAGAGTTCTTCTGTAAGGAAGATTTGTGTCTTTTACCCCATTTATTTATCTGTTTAATCATTTATATTACTAGGGATTTGTATTTAACTATTTTATACTTTGGGCTATAATATAACATTATTTATTGTATTGCTTAAATTGTTTCAGCTTTGACCATTGGGAGTTCTTTCAATTAGCTTCTTACAGTGTCCCTTTGCTATACCCCCCCAGTTTTGTGTGTGGGGTGTGTGTGTGTGTGTGTGTGTGTGTTTGTGTGGTGTTTATCTTTGTTTTGAGCACTTATTTCTGGCACAATATGATGCGCTATACTCATCTTAAAGTCATTGCCCCAAATTTAGAATCAGCTGCTTTTCCAAGGTTCTAGTTTCTTTTATTAGAGAACGGTATAAGAAATTGAGTGTTGCTGTTACTGGCTGATGCTGATTTTTATCCAAATAAAATTGTTTATAGTCATAGAAATATGGTTTTTAACTAGCTGTGTTACTTTGTGCAAATTCCTTTGCCATGTTAAGTTGGTTTCCTCATTTCTGAGTTAAGATAACAAAAATGTAAGGGGTATCCTGAGGGCACCTGCCATAGCCAACAAATCTGCATTTTGCTCTGGCAGCCTCATGACAGTTGGGGTAGGAGTGAGGAAGGATGACAGTCAAAACCAGAGAGGACCAGGCAAGAAACTTTATAGGACGCCTGACTGTGATAAGCTGGATGACAAAGCGCTATAACCCTGGGGGAAGGCACAAAAATTACTATTCTTATTTGAATTCTCTAAATTTTCTGGGAACCCCAAGCCTTGAATTTGACTTAAGATGAATCTAAAACCAAGAGTATTTTCAAATGCCTTATAAGGAGATGGTGTTTTCAATTCATCCTTCATATAAATCTTAAAATCAGTTTTCAATAGCAATGACCAACACATTTGTAAAAGATAACTAAATGCACAGCAGAGGCAACAGACCAAAGAAATTGACTTGTAAAGTCTGAAAATATTGGCATTATTAGTTAAAGACTATAAAACAACAATGCTTCAATGCATAAAGAAATAAAAGAAAAACTGAATATATCTTTGGGAACAGAAGACTAAAAAGTGACGTAGATAATATAAAAAAGAAACTAAAAAAATTGAAATGAAAATCCTAATGACTGGATTTAAAAATTTTAGAATGAATTCACTAAGACATGAGAAGCCCATAAAGAAAGAAGCAGTAAACGGGAAGAGGCATTTCAGTCACCCCAGGCCCTTTCCACTCCTGAACAAGCACATGCCTATCTCACAACTCCAATTGCACCAAGTGTTGTCCTAGACATTTGAGTGAAGAGATACTGCTAATAATATTCCTGAAGGCTTGAGATTCATGCAAGGGGTGATGTAGAAGGGTAAGGGAGTGTCTGTGTCAGCTCCGCTACTCTTTTCCCCTGGGGACTCCAGGACTACCCAGGGAAGGTGAGCACTTGTGGCTTGAAGCTCAGAGATGCACAAAAGAAAGTCTTGAAAGGTCTACAGGCCTGAGCTACCCAGAACTAGCCCCATAGATAAAGTCTGTTCCACAGTAGTTGATTCCTCCCTGCTTATCCCCCAGGATGCTATGAAGATCCAGTAACTAAAAAGTCTGGAAAACACTACCTTTAAATATAAAAGCATGTCTATGCTTTGCATGAAAATTATTTTATTTTACTCAACATTCCTCTGAAGTATTATTTATCTAATTCTGTATTACTGAACTACCTGGTCATAGTGATATTTAATCTTTCTTTGTACATTTGTTTTTTTAAACAAATGCACACTTTTTTAAATGAACACTTTTTTAAAGTGTTCTTCTCTCTCTCCAAAGTGAGCATTTTCTTTGCAGACGGTTGTCACCATCAAGTCTTTCCTTCCATGCATAGGTGCACACACACACACACACAAACACACACTATTCCTCATGTAGAGAGGCAAGTCTCCCCTACAGCCTGAAAATCTCTGCTGGTCTTGGAACATCCTCTGGCGAACAGGTTGCAGCTGAAGTAATACTATGTTGACTAAGATGGCTGGCATCTTCCACTTTCTCCCTGGCAGTCAGTCATGTAAACATTTGGACACCCCAAGACAGCTAAGCTGTGAGAAAGCCCACACTAGGCCACACTGAAGAGTCAGTTGCCCAACAGCCCCCATCTGTTTCCTGCCACCGGCTGAGGCGGCCGACACCAGAGTGAAAAGGCCACCTGAGCGCAGCCCCAGCATCTTCACGTGGCGCAGAGGAGCCACCAACTAAGCCCCGTCCAGACCACAGACTCGTGAGCCATAACAAATGTTTAAATCACTGAGTTTAAGGGTGCTTTATTACAAAACAATAGATAACTGAAACATCTTTACATGGGCTTTTCTTTATAATATCTATTTTCCTAAAATGGAAAAAAGATCCTTCAAAATTCTTCAGTGCCCACTGGTTGAACTCCTACAGAATTCTCCAGGTTTTCTATCACTTGAGACATCAGCGTATGGGTCCCCTCACTATTTCTCACATGCTTGTCCTAAGTACTCCCATTTCTATGATTTTGCTCACTTCATCAACCTTGTGGAAAGGCTCACTGCATCTCCCCACCCCCAACTAGCCACCCCCTCCAATTTGTTTTAAGTTTCCACCCTGGATCTAGAATAAGCACAGCATTCATCTGATGTCATCACTCTCCTATGAATGCTGAAGTTACTCTTGTGGCCACTACAAAAACCCCTGCAACCTTGTGTTGTTATTTGTGCTTTTAAAGTGAGCTTTGTTCCCCAAATATAACGAGTCCTTTGAATAAGATACTGAGCATATTCCTGTCTGTGCTTTAGCTCCTAACCAAAGACCTGGAAAGGAGGAAGTACTCAAAAAATGTGTTTGGGATGATTGTTGCTTCATCTTCTTTTTCTTTAAAAGAATGTTTTGGTGGTGAGTCACGGACCCTACCTTCCGTGCTCTGCAGCTATTACGTTCAGTTCTCATTGCTTCTACAGACAAAAAATGAAACAGGCTTTTTTATGAATATGAACAGGTTAATAGATGTTTGTAGGAAGTAGAGACATAAAAATCACTTACTGTATTTTTTTTTTTTTTTTTGCTAAAACCAGGACAAAGCTTTTGGTTTCCTTGTCTCCTTTTCATATCTGAAAGTTCATGCATAGTGAATCACTTCCCTGTCACTTAAACTCTGAAGTGTAATATGATCATGGCAGGCAATCAAAACATGTATATGAAGTCCCAGAGGCATAAAAATTCATGAGTGGAAACCGATAAGAGATTGACAAAATGTTTTCTAAGAAAGCAAAGAACTGACAGCTGATGCTTAAAGGATTCCTTACCTGACTTCTAATCCTCATGCTGGCCACGGAAGTCAAATATTTATGTTCTAGATACCAGGCTCGCTCCTGGAACACCAACTTGGTTCCATATAACACACAAAACTAAGGAATGGGAGAAGAGGAAAGAAATGAACAAAGAGAAGTACATTAGAAATTACAGGTCTAAAAAGGGGAAAGAACACATTACATTCCATAAAATCATAAGAGGTAATACTTCCTTAATGCCAGGAGTCACAGTTTGAATGTGCAGTAAAAGTTTTAATTTTTAAAACCATTCTATAGAAAATTTAAAGCATATATAAAAGTAGAAAGAGCAGCAAAACATACTTCCATGTATCCATCTCACAGTTCAACAAATATTACCTCATGGGCAGGCTGGTTTCCTCTGCAATCTCATCTAGTCTTCCTCACCCCGATTATTTAAAAGCTAAGTCCACTCACACGATATTTTAAAACATGAATGTAGTATTTCTGCTTGCTTTCCTTCTCAATTCATGAAAGCATGTTCTAAATGTATATTCTGAACAATGTCACCTTGATATTTTCCATTGAGCATGGTTTAAGTAAACTTTCATAAAAATAGCACTTCTCATTTACATTTTGTTTCAACATGCTTTTCCTATTACATTTCTGAAACTTACATAGACGTCCTATGACATCAATGGTATTGAGCAACAATAAATGAGTTTCCCTATACTGGAAGTAACTTTTAAACTATTTATTCACTTGCCTTTTAATATTTAATAATCCTAAAATTACATAAAAGTACAGAGAGTGGTACTGCTATGTCTGCAACACCCAACTTCAATAGTTACCAAGTCATGGTGATTCTTGTTTTATGTCTACTCCTAACCATTCCCCCCTTTCTGTATGATTGTGAAACAAAGTTCAGTCATATTCTACCCATGAGCATTTCACTGTGTATCGCTAAAAGATAATGACTCTTCAGATATTAAAATCATCTCAAAGTCAAGTCAAGAAACAATAAAACCCTCTTTTCCAGAGTCAAGTGGAGATGACCTAGGCATCAGAAGACAATAACATCTTCTATGGATCATCAGACTCAGAAAGCCTGTAGTTCATAAGTCACTTAGATAAAACACGCCCTTTTCTTCTTTTTCTGAGGCTCTGGGACTTCCTTAAAGCAGGATCATTATGAAGAGCCTCAACCATTCAGTCTTTCCGGAAGGGGTCACAATATGGCCTAGCAGCTTGTCCATGAAAGATATTTAAGATTAATTATGGCTTTTTTATGGACTTGCCCAAGTTCTGGGCAACAGTTGCTTGGTTAGTGTAAGTTTCCTTTGGTTCTTGGATATCACAGCAATAAAATGTTATCTGATTCCCCATTTCAAAAAAAGGTGGACATTTGTTCATTTACAGTTTTCTTTCTTTTTTTTTTAAAGATTTATTTATTTATGCAAGAACTGGGGTACAGGCCAGAGGCACAGGAGGGTGACAGAATTCACCAGAGACAGAGCAGGGAACGGAACAGGCACAAGGACCTTAGTACACCGCTGAGGGGAGCAGCGGGCACCACAGGGGAGGTCTGCCTCGCCATGTGGGAATCTCCTGGCCGGCTGGGAATCAAACCCATGCTGCAGAGGCTGCAGACAGCTTCACAGTGCTGCGCTCAACCCGCTGTGCCACCGGGGAGGCCCCATTTACAGTTTTCTTACATCACTTTTGTCCTCCTCAATATCAAGTTTCTCACACTGCAAGTCCTTCCCAATTCAGAGAGAAAATGGGAACATTACAGGAGACAAGTAGGTCTGCTGTGTTTTTGGTATCTATTAGCATCAATCCAGGGGCCTGTGTTCAAACCCTGAATGTAGCTTAAAAAAGTCTTAAATACTTCATCAGATTATTTTTTAAACCTCATGTTATGCTGGGATTTGACCATCCCACATTTATTAAATATTACTCTTATATTTATTCTTGTATAAACATTCTCCCCCTCACCCCCACTTGTCATTGTATCTAGATAACGTCCTTAGACTGTGCACATCAGAGTCCCCTGTACTCCTACCCTGGTTTCTTTAAATATGCTCCGATCAACAATATGATCATAACAGTCACTATTTAATAAGAACCTACTATATACCAGGCACTGCAAGGTTTTTACATTCTCATTATTTATATCTTCACAATTAAAAGTAGCTAAGGCCTCCCTGGTGGCACAGGGGTTAAAGACAGTGCTATCAAGCTATCGCCAGCCACTGCAGCATAAGTTTAATCTCCAGACAGCCAGGGAGCAACCCATATGGTGCAGCAGACCTCTCTTGCCTTGCCCGCTGCTCCCCTCAGCAGTGTATTTCAGTCCATCTATCTGTTCTGTTCCCCACTCTGTCTCTCTGGTGAATCCCCTCACCCCCCACACCTCTGGTTTACACCCTAGTTCTTGTATGCATAAATAAATAAACCTTAAAAAGACAATTAAAAGTAGCTACTGTTGGGCCTCCCTGGTGGCACAAGGGGTTAAGACGCAACCTATGAAGCTGTCTGCAGCCACTGCAGCATGAGTTCGATCCCCCAGCCCGCCAGGGAGCAACCCACATGGCGCAGCAGACCTCTCCTGTCTCAACCGCTGCTCCCCTCAGCAGTGTATTTTAGTAGATCTGCCTGTTCTGCTCCCCACTCTGTCTCTAGTGAATCCTCTCACCCCCCCCCACACCTCTGGCCTGTACCCCAGTTCTTGTATGCATAAATAAATAAATCTTAAAAAAAAAAAAAAAGTAGCTACTGTTGGCCTGCTCAGGAAAGTTTAACTCAGCAAGACTGGGCGACTCAAAGCCCACACATTCTCAAGGTCTTCCACCCAACTTTTGGAAGATGACCTCTGAGCTCTTGGATTATCTTTCCTGATAAGTGTGTCACTGCATGCCTGAGGTGTTGGGCCAAGCCAGATAGTTAATGCTAACAGTTGGGTGTACTTTGAAGCCCTGTTTTCGTGTGCCTCAGGCACAGAGCCATGCTGCACCAGTTTTTACTCTGAGGGCTCTGATCTGAGCAGCTGAGGCCAATCCTGTGATGTTGCTGTTTTGTGTGATCCCCAGTGAAAACCTTGGAAACCAAGGGTTGGTAGCTTAGTTGGCAACACTTGCAGATGTTGTCAACCATTGCTGGAGCATTTTTGGGAGAGCAAGTGCTGTCTGCATGACTCTGTTGAGAGGAAAACTTGCTGGGGAGGTCTCGCTGGTTTTCACATGGCCTCCGCCCCCCCGCCCCCTGCACATTTTCCCTTGACTGATGTTTATCTTATTCCTTTGCTGTTAAAAATTTTGAATATAACATCTTTTCTGGGTCCTGTGAGCCCTTCCACACTCAGTGTGGACTTGAGAAACCCTAGCTCAGGCACCATTTTTTACACATGAAGAAACAGAGGCTCAAGAAAATTAAATTATAGAGTCACGGTTGGAACTAAGTCTTTCAGGGTTCAAAGATATTTTTCTGTCTAGCATAGCACGGTACCTCCACTTTTCAGAATTTAAAAAGCAAAACAGACCATTCTTTTATATATGCATATGAATTTTTTTCAACTGTGGTAACATTAGGGTCCTCATCAGGTATCACCAGCTTAGAGCACATAGCACTGAATATTATGTTATAATAAGAAGTTGTGGTCTAGCACCATGGTCCATTGTGCTTCGTTCCCTCTTTGTTTTTATCCCTCCCCCACTCTTTCTAAAAATAGAGGCTGAGGGTTCTATTCTGGATAAGATGGAGTAGATGATGACACTCTAGTCACCTCTTCCACTGAATACAGCCATAACTTCTGGGCAGGGTGAATGAAGAAACCATTTAAGAAATCTGAAAAACCGTAGCAGGCAGATTGAGGAAGAATTCTACAACTTAAAATCTCATCGCACTGGTGGCAAGTTTAATTCCCCACCCCCCACCCCAGTCCTCAAGCTGCTTATCCCTGCGTTTGCCCCCAGAGGCAAATGCAGCAGAGCAGAATAACTAAACCCCAGATTTCTGGCTGAAAGATGGAAAAAGGGAACCCTAGGGAAACCTAAAAGTACCAAGGAGGTGGTGGAAAGGAAGGGATTAAGGAAGAAACACCATTAAGTTGTCAATGAACTTCTGGGTTCAGTCCCAGATATGCACCCATGGATCTAATGTTTATTACATACAAAATATGTTGCGAGCTAAGCTAACAGGTAGATGAGAATGCAGGAGCTAGGCGTGCCACTGAGTGGTGCATATGTGGGGACAGAGAATAGCATTGCAAAGGCTCTCATGACTAAACCAGCATTGAAATCACAGTCAACAGAAGGTGAGTTGGGACTTGCAGTCCAAATAACTGGGTACATGCTCTGCTAAAACAAAAATATTCACATTCATAATAAGATTTCAGTAAAACCCACAATCTCATAACATAATATTCAAAATGGCCAAGAAATAATAAAATAAAAAATTCAGCATATGAAGAAGCAAAATATAACTAATCATCACATGCCAACAGCAAAATGACACAGAATTGAAATTATATGGAATGGCTTTATACAATGAGATATAGGTAAATCCGAATGATATCCTAAAAAATGCTTAAATAATCCAAAAGGTATATGTTGTGATTCACATTAAAATCTGAAATGGTTTTTAAAAAACCCCACATGATCATATTAATTGATGCAGGAGGAGAAACTGACAAAATTCAACATCCATTCATGATAGAAACTCTTTGGAAACTAGGAATAGAAGGCACTCTCTTAACAACTACAAAAAATACTTACACACACTAAAAACACACACTAAAAAATACACACACACATGCCAAAACCCTACAGCTAATATGTTTAATGGCAAAAGACTAAATGCTTTTTGCATTTAAAATCTGGAATAAGATATGGATGTCTGTTTTCATCACTCTTATCATCATCATCATGCTGGAAGTTCTGGTCAATAGAGAAATAAAGAATTAAATCGGCGCCATAGAGAAAAAAGGACACACAAATTGGAAAGGCAAAAATAAAATTGCCCCCTTCACAGACATGATTGCTTATAAAAAATCTACAAAAAACCTCCAAATCTCTAGACTTAATAGTGAGCTTGTACGGCACAGGATATGAAGTCAACTCACTAAGCATCAGCTGCAC